GTGTGTCTGAGACAGCGAGGTTGGCACAGGATAAAACGGCATTTAGGGCTCTTGTACATAGGGTCGCTATGAGTCGCAAGCAACTAGATGGCACATAACAATAATAACAAGTTAACCCAGGTGAAAGTGTGTCCTCTTCTTTCAGATCTTTGAAGAACAAAAAATGTAGAGCCCCTATTCCAAGGAGTGCTTTTAGGTTCCTTGTTGTTATCGTTTCTAGTGAGTTAAGAGTTAAGTGAGGACCTCACACACAATGGATTGAAGCACCACCCGGCCCCTGTGCCACCTCCATGCTCATCTGCTGACCAGACCATTGTGTTCCATAGTGTTTGCATTGACTCGTGTGTGGGAGTAGATTCCCCGTCTTTTTTTTCTCATGCGTCTTAATGTAGAAATTCCACTGAAGCCTGCTGGGTCAGCATGCTGTTGTGAGGTGCCATCGAGTATGACTCATAAAGACCCTTTGAATGTCCTGAACCCTGCCCTGTCCTGTCCTGTGCCATCCTCCCCGTCCCTCATCCACTTGATTCCTTTGCTGCAGTCACTGTGTCACTCCATCTCATTGGGTGGGGGTTCTTCTTTGCTGACCGTCCACCTTTCCAAGCATTATGTTCCTTTACAAGGAATTATAACACCACACAAAACTACACAGGTGACAGCACACAAGGAACCCTGGCTGATAACTGAACACAAGTCCCTCATAGAAGGCAGAATTCTACCATTGTATCAGCTGTACTCCCTGGATACAGAGGGGTAGGGGAGAAATTACATCACTTCATTGACCTTTGTCCAATGTGAGCAGCATATTAAAATCATATTAGATTATATATAACACAAAATTTTAAAAAAATAAAAACAACCCCTTGCCACTGAATTGATTTCAACTCATAGCAACCCTCTTAAACAGAGTGGAAGTGACACAAAGGGCTTCCTGCTAAGGCTATAAATCTTTGTAGAAGCAGACTGTCTCGTTTTTCTTCTCTGGAGTGGTGGATGGATCTGAACAACTGACCTTGAAGTTAAGCCTTTTAACCACACACCAAGGGTCTTTGATAACCCACAACATGAAATAAGTATCTGTTTATACAGACATAAATAAATGGCTGAATGGTGATACAAACAAGAGAAAACCAAGAATCTCCCATGCTGAAGAATTTAAAATCACGTGTGTAGCTGGTCTGTTCTTCAAGGAAGTGGAGCTTGACTTCCCACTCATTAAGATCCCCTAGCTTGGACGTCTCAACTGATGGGATCCCTTGTTTTCTTTTTCTTATATCTAAGATTTGGTTCAAATGCTGTTTCCCTGCACGGCAAAAAGGAAACGGGATTTCATCCCCAAAACTTTTGAGGGTGACTTTGATCATGGGCATCTTTTCTCAGCTTCTCCTACCACCCCACCCCATTTTTCTCCTCCTCCCCTTCTGAGTTTGTAAGAAGCCCAAATCTTGCCCTTTAAAAGTAATTTCATTTGTAAAACTGATAATGTGTACAGTTGAACTCATAGCTAACTCTGACTCTCAGAATGGGTTTTTAGCACTTTTATACTCTTCCAAGAGGCTTACTGCTCCCCAGAGGAAATAATAGCCAAGTAAAGGATCATTCATTAGCCAGAACTTTAAAAAGTATATTTTAGCAGATTTCTGCCTCTCCCCATGAGATATTCATCCTTATCCCCACCCCTCTCCAATCCAAGGATACCTCTGAAGGAGATCCATATATTTACATCTGTGTTATTTTTGTTATTTTGGGGTTTGTTTTTTTTTTCTCTTGAAAGGTCACACAGCTGGCAAGCTACTTCGAACCCTTGATCTTGGCTGCAGTTGGTGTTGCCTCCAAGATTCTTGACCATCAGCAACAGATGACAGTGCTGGACCAGACCAAGACCCTGGCAGAATCTGCCCTGCAGATGTTGTATGCAGCCAAGGAAGGTGGCGGGAACCCCAAGGTACAGTTCAGGGTGCCGAGGATTCACTTAGCACCCCTAAGAACCCTTCTCTTACTGTGCCCTCCGGGAACAAAACTTCCCCATTTCCCCCTTGAAAGCATTTTGATTTTCCATTTTCAAGTGGAACATAATCTTTCTCTTTTTTGCTTTACATTTTATTACGTCTTGAGCAAAAGTTTGTAGAGCAAATTAGTTCCCCATTCAACAATGTAGACACATTCTGTTTTATGTCATTAGTTGCAATCCCCTCATTAGAATGCCATGACACTCCTCCCTCGTTGTCCTTGGATTCCCCTTATCCAATGACCCATCTTTCTTGCCCCCTCCTATCTCCTGGACTTTACTGGTAGGAAAATGCTGCCCTGTGGTTTCATACAGCTGATTGTTGAGGAGCATTTTCCTCGTGGGTTTTACTGATCAGTTAAGCAGTCTGTCTATTGCTTAGTGGAAAGTTGGTCTCCATGGGTGTGTTCAGTTCCGGGATTGTAGGCTATCTAAGGCCATCATTTTGGGAATTCTACCAGTCCCCATCTGACCTCTAAGCCTGGTCTTTTAGTTTTAAGTTTTGTTCTCTCTGAGGGTTTTCCTCTCCTTTGCTGACCTTGCCATGCATAATGTCCTCCAAAGACTGACCTCTCCAGAAAACATGCCCAGAGTATGTGAGATGAAGTTTCACTATTTGCCTCTAAGGGTCACCCTGGTTTCACTTTCTGTGGGACATATTTGTTTGTTCTCCTGACTGACCCTGGGGTAATCAGAACTTTTCTCCAGAAACACAACTCAAAGGCATCACTTCTTTGCTCTAGTACCAAGTTATTTTGACTGCCATGACTGTGGAATACGTTTCAAGGTGAGGAAATTTAAGGCCTCCTACTTTGTTGTTCTTTTCAGTAAAACTTTGCTTATCCACAGGATTTCTTTTTCTTTTCAAAGATGATAATTATTTTTTCTATCTCTAAAGAATATTACTATAATTTGTATAAGGTATGGTATGTTTTTCCATTTATATAGCTCTCTTTTGATTTTTTTCAGTAGTGGTTTTTGGTTTTCTTTGTATGTGTCTTGTTGTTATTGTTAGGTGCTGTTGAGTCATCTGCAGCTCATAGCAACTTTATGCCCAGTAGAGCTGAACCTATCTTATCCTGTGCCATCCTCATCCTCTCTGACATACTTGAACCCACAGTCTCTGTATTGATCCATCTCATTGGAGGTTTCTCTCTTCATGCTTTCCAAGGATGATGGTCTTCCTGAAGGACTGGCCCATGTTGTTAGGAACAACATGCCCAAAATATATGAGATGACATTTCACCATCCTTGCCTCTAAGGAGAGAACCCTGGTTGCATTTTCTCTACGACATACTTGTTCTTTAGGCAGTCCATGGGATATTCATTACTTTTCTCCACCACCACAACTCAAAAGCATTGACTCTTCAGAGTCCAACTCTCAGATTCATAGCAAGTGATTGAAAAGACCATGGCCAGAACAAGGCACAGTTTAGTCTTTAAACTGACACATTGTTCCTTAGCACTTTGGAGAGGTCCTTAACAGCAGACTTCCCTGATGCAATACATCTTGATTTCTTGACCTTGGGTTCCAAAGATGTTGATGGTGGATCCAAGTAAGATGAAATTGTTGGCAACTTCAGTCTTTTCTCCATCTATCATGATATTGCCCATTGGACCAGTGGTGAGGATTTTTTTCCTTAATGTTGAAATATTGAAGTCTGTAGTCTTTGATTTTCCATAGCAATTATTTCTAGTCCTCTTTGCTTTTAGAAAGCAAGTTGTTGATGAGTCTTAACTCTGATCCTGATGCTGCATTCATCTTCATAAAGTCCAGCTTCTCAAATGATTTGCTCAGCACAGTTACATTTAGTCCTAAATATTTTCTCTTTTTCGCAGCTATTGTAAATGATGCTTTCCTGGCTTCCTTTTCAGAGTTTTCTTGGTTAGTGTAAAAGCTTCCAAATGATTTTATACGGTGTTCTTGTATCTTGCCATTTTTCTAAATTATTCTGTTAGTTCCAGTAGCTTTCTTGTAGAATCTGTGGGATTTTCTATGTACAGGAGCATATAATCTACAAATGGAGATAGTTTTACTTCTGTTACATATCTATTTGGATACCTTTTTAAAAAATTTACCTTTACTGCCTTATGCCTAGGACTTCCAGTACAATATTGAGTAAGAGTGGTGATACAAAGCATCATTTTCTATTTCCTATTCAAGGAGAATGTTTTCCATCTGTCTCTGTTGAAAATATTATTGACTGTTGGGTTTTTGTGTATGCCTTAATTTTGTCAAGCAGTTCCTCTTCTTCGTATTTGCTGACTGTTTTTGGCGGGAATAAATGTTGCATTTATTAAATGTCTTCCTTGAATCAATTTATATGATTATGTGATTTATTTATGTGGTGGAACACATTGATTAGTTTTTTTCATGTTGATCCATTTGATCATAATATATATATTTATATATTATTGGATTCTTTTGGCTAGGATTTTGTTGAGAATTTTTGCCTCTGTAATCACGAAGAATTTTAGTCTATCGTTTTCTTTCATAGTTGTATCTTTAACCAGGTGTGGTGGTGCTCACCTGCAGTCCCAGCTTCTTGGGAGGCTGAGGCTGGAGGATCCCGTGAGTACAGGAATTCTGGGCTGCAGGGCGCTATGCCAGTTGGGTGTCCCGGCAAAGTTCAGCATCAATATGATGACCTCCCAGGAATAGGGGACCACCAGGTTACCTAAGGAGGGATGAACCGGCCCAGGTTGGAAATAGAGTAGGTCAGAATTCCCGTGCTGATCTTGGTGGTGCCCTTGCCCGGCTTTAGAAGCAGAGTTATGCTTGCATCATAGAATGAATTTGCAAACGTTACATCCATTTCTGTGTTCTGGGATAGTTTTAGTAATGTTGATGTTAGCTGTTCTCTGATTTGGTAGAAATCTCCAGAGAAGCTGGCTCACTAATATTCTTGTTGTGGTTGTTGGTGGTGACTGTTGTTTGGTTTAATTTTTTAAATGCCCCCTTTAATTTATTATATTTTTAATACATTTGTTTGAATTTTCTACCTTAGTCTGTTAATTTAGGTAGGTAGTGTTTTTCTAGAAATTTGTGAATTTCTTCTAAGTTTTCACATTTGTTGATATATAGGGTTTTTTTGTAGAATTTTGTTATTATCCTTTTAATTTCAGTTGGTTCTCTTATAACATGATCCATTTTATGTATCATTTGTGTTTTATTTGCATCTTCTCTCTCATTACCTTTGTTTGGTGCCTATTTTGTCAATTTTATTAATCCTTCCACACAACCGACTGCTAGTCTTGTTGACTCTATTATGTTTTTCAGATTTGTTTGATTTGTGTTCCAATCTTTATCTTTGTTGGAATTATAGGATTAAGGTGTTTATTGGGCCCTTTGTCACTACAAATTGACCCCTGAGCACTGCTTTTGCTGTGAAGTAGGAAAAAACCTTGTGTTAGTACCCCTGTTGACCATTAGATAAAAGTATAAAATATTCATAATTAAAGCTTGTATGAATGATATCTATATGCATACAAGGAAGTCCAGTGAATACCACTATCATTCAAATATATGCACCAACAACCAGAGCCAAGGAAGAGGAGATAGAAGATTTTTACCAACTTTTAC